TTAGATATTAAATTTTGAGAATTCCTCTGGTTCTGAGTAGTTTAACAAATGAAAAAAATATTTTTAACATAGTTATTATTTAAAAGAAAAATACATTGGCCGTATCTTACTTAGAACCCATTCCTGATTGGACCATAATTGATTTCAATCTATTTCAAAATATTTTCATATTAAAGTTTTGTAAGAAAAAAAATGCCAAGATACAAGCAGTTTACATTTAGAAAATGATTTCATAGACTTTTCATTGATATTATTAATTTATTACAAACTGATCCTGATTCTATTTATAAATAACTTTTAGTATCTTTCATTTCAAGAATAATTTTAAATTTATTAATTTTATTTTAAAATTTAATAAGTTTTCACGTCTATGCCTAATAAAAATAAAAGAATATTTAATCTAAAAAATAATAAAATACACTCTTTTTCTTTTATAAATGTGATGGAAGAGTATAAATATATTTTTTTCTGTTAAAAAATATAAAATATTTTTTTGAAGAATTAAATTTAATGAATATAAAATATTTTTAATCTTTTAAAATATAATTATTATTTTTTATTTTTAAAAATATTATCATTAATAACGATTTTATACTTATTAGAAGATATTTAATAAAAATAAATTTAAAAATATATAATCACCTTGTTGAAGATAAGGGTAAATTTTTTGTCAGAGGGCAGAACTTTCCAGAAAAAGATGCTTGCGCTTGTTTGCTTTTTCTTCGCAGGAAACGTACACTTTCTGCCCCTTATTAATTGTCATTGAACAAATACTAAAGTCAAACACTTGTGCGTGTTATGTATCAGGTCAAACGTCTCATCTAAGCTATGAAAACAAATACAGCTTTTTCCACAGCATAACTACTGTATAATGTATATATACGTAGAGACCTAACCGTATATCTCGTGAGTCTTGACTGGCGTAATAGTCTGCATCGTCGCTGATGCAGCCACCAAGTCGCAGACTTGCATTTTCTATTCCAAGTTTCCAACTTTTACTGTACCATTGATTATTACATATTCCCAACTTGTACAATTTCCCTGACAAAATAGATTCTTGTTTCATGTATAAATATCTGCATTCTCGCCGCCATTGATGGGCCATGCAGAATCTGCAACTTAGCTTCTTGTTGTACTCATGACATTATATAGGCTTCTCGCTTTCGTCCTGCTGTTTCTCCAACTTCACTTTCAAGGCATCCTCTGTGATGACAAAGATGCCCTCCTTTCATTCAAATCCCAAGTCACTGATCCAAAGAATTCTCTCTCTGGCTGGAATTCTAATTCCTCCATCTGCTCTTGGTATGGACTCTCCTGCACCAGAAACACTAACAGAGTTCAATCTCTCAGTCTACCAGGATTAGGCCTTTCTGGTAATCTACCCTCTTCCCTCTCCAATCTTACTCATTTACAATCACTTGATCTTTCCAGTAATGCATTCCAGGGCCGTCTTCCTTTGGAGCTCTCGAATCTCTCTCTTCTTAATACCATCAATTTAGCTGCCAACAATCTCATTGGTACCCTTCCTTGGCAATTATCCCTTCTAAACCAGCTTCAAGTTCTGGACTTCTCTTCGAATAATTTCACTGGTCAAATCCCTCCTGAATTTGGAAACTTTTCTTCTCTCAAAAACCTTTCCTTGGCAAGAAACCATCTTTCTGGGGAGATTCCCAGTGATTTAGGAAATCTTCGTAATCTTTCTCATCTTCAACTCTCTCAGAACTATTTCTCTGGGGACTTTCCCATTACTATCTTCAACATCTCTTCGTTAACCTTTTTATCTGTAACACAAAATCACTTTTCAGGAAAATTACCACAAGATATTGGCGATTCTCTCCCTAATCTCCGAAGTCTCTATTTGGCTGACAATATGTTTGGTGGTGTGATTCCTGATTCCATATCCAATGCTTCACATATCCAAGACCTCGATCTTTCTCACAATCAATTCCATGGATACCTTCCCCTGTTCAGCAACATGAGAAATCTCACCTGGCTAATTCTCAGCAACAACCATCTCTCTTCCAGAACATCAAATAATTCTGATTTCTTTGATTCCCTTATACATAGCCCAAAGTTGAAAATTCTGATGATCGACTCTAATCAGTTAGCAGGGGAGCTTCCAAGATCTATAGCAAATCTTTCAACCACTCTAGAACAATTTTGTGTATCTAATAACTTTTTCAGTGGAAGTATCCCTCAAGGTATAGGAAAATTTCAAAACCTCGTGTCCCTATCTTTTGAAAATAATCATTTCACTGGGGAGATACCAAGAGACATAGGAGCATTGAATAAACTGGTGCAACTTCTTGCATACAAAAACAAGTTTTCAGGAGAAATCCCAGACATGTTTGGGAATTTCACTCAACTATCAATGCTTGCATTGCATAATAACAAGTTGTTTGGCAGAATTCCCTCCAGCATTGGACAATGCGAAAGGTTGAACTATTTGAACCTTCAAATGAATAACCTTCATGGGACCATACCAGAGGGTATTTTTAGGCTTTCTAGTTTAACCACATTGTCCTTAGCTGGGAATACCCTGCATGGGTTCCTCCCTTCTAAAGTGAGCTCCATGGAGCAACTTCAGTTCTTGGACATGTCTAATAATCTAATGACCGGATATATTCCCGAAGAAATAGATGGCTGCACAAGCTTGCGGATGCTTCAATTGGCAAGAAACAAATTTAGTGGTCCAGTACCAAGTACTTTGGGGAATCTAACGTCATTGGAAATGTTGGATTTATCTTCAAACAACCTCTCAGGTCCCATCCCTTCAACTTTGGAAAAGCTTCGGTATATGGTGAAGTTGAATTTGTCTTTCAACCATTTGGAAGGGGAAGTTCCCGTGGAAGGTGTTTTTACCAACCTTACCCAGGTTACTCTCCTAGAAAACAGCAACCTTTGCAGTCCTAACAAAGAAGTTGCGGAAAGATTAAGAATCATTGCATGTGTCAAAGGTAAAAGGCACAGATTCTTACTCCCTCTCATACTTGCAGTAACAGTTGCTTCTATTTTTTGCATTTCCATCTGCTTAGTGTGGGTGAAATGGTTCCGAAAGAAGGAAAAGAAGAATGATAAAACAAGTTTGTCGATTTCTCCTCTCAAGGGAGCTCCTCAAAATATATCGTTCTCTGATATTCGAGCTGCCACAAAAAATTTCGCATCCGAAAACTTGATAGGAAATGGTGGATTTGGCTTTGTCTACAAGGGTGTGTTCAGCATCGACCAATGTGAAACTACTCTCGCCGTGAAAGTGCTCGACTTGAAACAAAGCAAGGCTTCTCAAAGTTTCAGTGCAGAGTGTGAAGCCTTGAAGAACGTTAGGCACAGGAACCTCGTGAAGCTCGTCACTTCTTGCTCTAGTATTGATTATAAAGGTGATGACTTCAAAGCCTTGGTTATGCAATTCATGACCAACGGTAATTTGGACACATGGCTGTATCCAGTGGACGAAGAATCAGGGTCCTCCTTGAGCTTCTTGCAGAGATTGAATATTGCTATAGACATTGCTAACGCAATGGACTACTTACACCATGACTGTAACCCACCAGTAGTCCATTGCGATCTAAAACCTGGTAATGTCTTGTTAGATGAAAATATGGTGGGCCATGTAGGAGATTTTGGCCTGGCAAGGCTTCTTTCCCAGGATTTATTAGAGTCCGTCACCCTAGGACTGAAGGGTACCATCGGCTACATTCCCCCAGGCACGTAGAGGAAACTACCATCCTTATTATTTGTCGAAAAACAATAACCTAATACCCGTACAAATTTTCTAACGTCCTTGTAATTTTGTTTCAGAATATGGCCTAGGTGGCAAAGCTTCAACCTTGGGAGATGTGTACAGCTTTGGGATTTTACTTCTCGAGATGTTCATAGCAAAAAAGCCAACTGATGAGATGTTCAAGGAAGGATTAAGCCTTGAAAAATTTGCATCGGCAATGGATGAGAATCAATTAGTGAATGCAGTTGATCCAAAGCCTTTTAACGATTTTGAATGGCCAACACAAAGCTCAAGCACTGGCTATCCTAGTGAAGGCACTAGTGACAACTTTAATAGTGGTCTCACGTTGCGCCAGAGCAAATCAGAGGAGTGTGCAGCTGCAGTGATTAGAACTGGCTTGTCTTGTGCAGCTGAAGTGGCCACAAATCGCTTGACCATGAGACAGGCCTCAAAACAATTACAAGGAATCAGGCAGACTCTGCTGGCTATATGAATTTTACAAACACATGTAAAAGTTAAAAATTAAAACACATATGGCTCTGTGTTCAATCATTGCTGTAGTTTTTCTTGTACAACGCATTGGCTTTTGTGTTTCGTTTGTACGTACGTTGATATTTCACTCGGAGCTCTATCACTTTTCATGAATTCGCTAGTAATAGCAAATAAGTGTAAAAGCTTGCCTACTGCTACTTGGCGGCCACATATGAGTGCAAAGCTCATATAAATGCAGAGTGATCAGCTGAGCACGACTCAGATTCGGATCCGAGCAAGTGAGACAAGCAGAGAAAGGGGGAAAAAAACAATAAACTGCAGAACACCTGACCTGAGATTAGAATCCAATGAAGTTTGACTGGTCCACAACTTTGCCGTATCTTCCAATTATTACGAATCAAAAATGAAGTTTCCTATTTGGAAGAGGACACATTGACTGTCAGTTTCTTTGTTGTAATTGAAAAGCTTGTGGGGATCTCATGCAATTATCATGTAACCTCAAACTCTTCCACTTGGATCACTTCCACAACATTAAGTTCTTCGTTCGCCGTCGGCGATCTTCGGTATTATATTTTCGAAAACTTACGCACTTTCATTTATTTATAAATATATTTTTACATATTATGCGTAATGAACGTAAACGTTTTATATGCATATGTCTTGAATACTCTAGAATGATTTTATGAGTGGCTCACAGAGAAAGAGAGCATTTCAGGTTACTTGGATCTCTAATGAGATGACTATACTTAAATAATGACAAACCAAAGATGCCTTGGAAGCAGAATAGAATAAACACCTCCCTCTCTTTCCTTCTGTGAGCATTTCAGCTTTTTGCATTATCGAGAGTGCTTTCTCTTTGAAGCTTGTCTCGAAACACTGGCAGTAAGCAGCATCAAACACGCCACAGAAAACACCAAAGTCCTGAGCATTATTTACTGCAAAGTAATAAATCATAGTTTATGTGCATACATAATAATGCATGGCGCCGCTGTTCCCAAATGCAAGGACTGGCCTATAACCCACATGCGGCAGACTGACATGATTTCAGTTATCAAAAGCAATGACTAATATGATTTGTTTTTTACCCTCATCATTCTGATCTTTCCATGCATGTTGCATTTAAACATACCAACCACTCAGACCCAGAGGAGCTACAAAGAAAAGAATTGGATCTGCCTTATTTATATGCAGACATAGATTTTGGTGCAGAAGCTGTTTTATTTTTCATGGGGAAGGCAGGAGCAAGCTCTTGGCTGACTGCAGTGAAAAGGGCTTTCAGGTCTCCAACGAAAGAAAACGATAAGAGAAGCAGTAGCAGGAGAAGAGAAGAACACGAACAGCAGGAGGAGGAGGAAAAGGTACAATCTCAAAGACCCTTCTGTTCTTCCCTTTCTATACTTCCTGCATACAGTGTAATAACTGACTAAGAACCAAATAGGATGATTTCGTTTACGTCTCTGTGTAATATTGCAGAAGAGGGGAAAGCGACGATGGATTTTTAGGAAGCCTTTTAGTCAAGAACCAGAAGTCTCTCAGGTTTTTGAGGAGAGAACTACAACCACCATCGCTGATATTACAGCAACAAGTAGTAATGTTTCTGAGGCAGCTGATGATGATCCGCAAAGACACGCCATTGCAGTAGCCATGGCAACTACGGCAGCTGCTCAGGCAGCCGTAGCATCTGCTCAGGCAGCCGTGGAGGCTGTTCGGCTTGCAAAGCCGTCCATCTTTGTCAGACGCCATCATGCTGCCACGACTATTCAAGCGGCCTTCAGAGGTTATCTGGTAAATAGCGAAGTTGATTTGTTCACTGATTGCTATGTATCTTTGAGAATGAAGCTCATTGTTGTGTGGTTTAATTTGAACATGAAAGGCGAGAAGAGCACTAAGGGCACTTAAGGGGTTAGTGAAGCTGCAGGCATTAGTGAGAGGTCATAATGTCCGCAAAAGAGCAAAATTCAATCTTCAGTGCATGCAAGCCCTTGTTCGAGTTCAATCACGGCTGTGTGAACAGAGAGCAAAGAGGATTTCTAATCACGGAAGCACTGATTCCAGACTAAGTGATTCCTCTAATATCACCGTATGTTAGTTTCATCTTTCAATATTGTGTTTCTAAAGGATGCCTGGCCCTCTACATATGAATGATATGTTTTCTGTTTGACTTCTGCAGTCTAGAGATGATGAACCCAAAAAGTTGACAGGATTCGAGCAGCTCTAAAGAAAACGACAGAAGTTGCCTCAAAACGGGAAGAGGTTCTGGCTCATGCTTTCTCTCAGCAGGTTAGATAGTTTCATAAACCTTTGTTTTCAATTTCCTAGTTTTAAAAATTTTCGTCAGTGCCACAGCACGAAGCAACGTTTTGCTTTATATGTAACAAGATATGGAGAACTTGCGGGGACCCCATCAGCGCCAGTGAGGGAGAGGCTGAGGAAATCTCTAGATGGTCTGATCAATGGATAGGAAGAAGAAGAAGAAGCTTGAACAGAGAGACTACAGGGAGAGCTTCGTGTGATCGAAGAGACCCTATCAAAATAGTTGAAATAGACACCTTTAGACCCTACTTCAACACAGTACCCACCGATACCACCACGAGATCATCATCATCTTGTGGTTATTGTAAGCCTCAGCTCGATTCTCCGCTCAGAACCCATACCTTCCTTTGTCTTCACCATTGCATAAAGCCCACTGTGATGCCTCTTTCCAGTCTCAACTAGTCACACCATCACAGAGAAAGATGAAGCAGCATCTTCAGGTGCATTCAGCTAGTCCTCGTTGCGCCACCAAATCCATATATTCAATGCATGATGTTTCAGGGCCCACTTCAGCGCCTAACTATATGGCTGCCACAGCATCTGCGAGGGCTCGGCTTCGGTCAATGAGTGCACCCAGGCAGAGGACTTCAAGCCTGCAAAAGTAGCATAACTATAACACTCGACATCTTTGGTCAAATATTTGATTAAGATAGTATTTTGTGTCCAACATTGTTTAGCTCAAATTGTAGAACCTTGGCAGACAGCTACAGATGAGTGATCTCAATCTAACAAGAGAGAAAAATGTTCTTACTTAATTAACCAGCATTAGCCTGCCTGAAATGGCATCACATCGTCCAACACTTAAAGCAATTAGGATGAAGGGTGGCATGAATTAATGTGGTGATACAAAGGAGGATGCTCTGTTCTTCTGCATGTAGATGCATTTAGCGACTGAAAAAGAGGATGGTCAATAGAAGCTTTTTAGGTGAGGTGGTTTTTTTTAAAAAAAATTTCTTATCTTATTAATTGAGGTGGGGTATTTTTGTGTTAGCATTCATATTCCTCTTTTACAGCCTTTTGCAGAAGATGGTATTCGTTCCAACTTTAGCATGTTGCATTACCAAATTCGTGCTTTAACGGGCTCTTTAGTCCACGGTTTTCGAGTAATGTTTTCTAGGGGAGGAAAAAAAGCGATAACAGTCATGACTAGGTCAAAATTATTGATTTCATCATCTGCTCGCAAGAAATAATTAAAATCAAAGACTTTGGTTTACTACAATTTCCTCGAACTTTTAGACTGGTATTACATCACAAGTCCCAATAATTATCATCCTCCTCCCACTCATTATAGAGTACTCTTTTAAACTAGTTTTGTTCTCAGCCTCACAAATAAATTACCCATACTCCGGAATCGAGTGTGGCGCGCGTGCAAATATGCACGGCATAACACGATAAAACTAGTTTGGAGTGCGTTCTGACTTGATTTGGGTTAATCTAGATCCGAAGAATGTTGGATACCGGGTGCACATGAAAAGGAAACAAAAAAAACAAAGATATTAATAATTTCAAAAATTTTTAGGAATGGGACCGCCTGATTCTGCGAGAACAGGACATCTAATTCTTCATAGGCGCAGACATGATCACCCGATTTGAAGCTGTCGAGGAAGCTCATGCCTCAGGGGGACATGCAGCATGAAACAGCCAAGTAAAAAAAAAAAATGGTAACATGTTCAACTTTTTCTCCTGTGGCCATTGGCAGTACCAAAAGCACCAACTCATTGGCACGCCTCATCTTTGCGTCCACCTCTCCAGATCCGTGCTTCCCTCAATTTTATACTAGTGATAAAATAAAGGAAAAAGGCGACGGACAGAATTTTTTGGGCTTCCAGATTTCAAGTCTCTCAATGTCGACACGTCTTACCGGATGGCGTTAAGAATTGACACGTCCACATTGAAAGATGAGATCGCATAATCATAGTTGCTTGGCTTGGAACTTGGATTAACTAACTGGTACTAGTAGAACCCAAAAAGCCAAAAAAAAAAAAAAGGAATGAAAAATATTCGGAGATATTTTCCCTTGAAACTTGAGGATGAAAGGAGTTGACCTGGTCAATGTCAGATCCGTCGGACCAGACATGGCCACGAACAAAAATAATTCCACAGAACAGTCCCCATAACAGATATCATCCCGACCTGAAAAACAGAACACAGTCTTCTTCACAGTAACATAAGCACAAGTCGCCCAGATTTTTGAGTATACAAAACACCCAGAAAATCCTTAAGCTACCTAAATATCCAACCAAATCAAGATTACATAATACTTGATACCACATCCCAAATCAAGCACCTCAACTCAAAGATACTAATTTGCTTTATTGAACAAGAGCAACGCAAACTCAGAATTGGCCCTTGAAGATGCCACTGTGGGGCTACTATTGCTACTACAATCAGATATGGATCCCAGCGTTCTCTGCAAAACCCCAGATGGAGATGACACCATTGTTGCCAAAGGACTGCCTGATTCGGCATTTGTCATGACCGGAGACTCTGGATTGGAGGCCGCCTCGTTGGCCGGAGCCCCCGCGCTTGGCCTTAGAACCTCAGCTAGGGGACCACCAGGTGTTGAACCCCCCAATGTGCGGCGGCAGGAGTGAGCCAACTAGCAAGATGGGTTTTGTTGCCATTTTCTGTGTTTCCACCTGGCTCCATTAGGCCTAAACCCATGTGAATAGAACGCATTTCTTCATCCACAGCAGAACCACCTGCCATTGATAGATCGAGCGAGGAAAGGGATAATTTAGCATTTGACGAAACAGGACTTTTGCTGGCGTTGGCATTATTGTTTTCCGCTGTTTCAGCATTAGACCAAGCGTCAATGAATCCCCTGGGTTTTCGGGGCTCGGGATTCTCCATGGGAAGGAGCGGATTGAGGAACAGAGAGCAATGTCTGTTTTGTTGGTCCAGCCCTGAGTTGAAAGATGCAAAGGAACTCAGATAAAGAGCGTCTTCGTAACTTGAACTCGAAAGGGTGGCGGCGTTGTTGTTGCTGCTGCTGCCGCTGCAGGAACTCTGTTTGATGAAATCAGCTTTAGCTTGCATCAGAGGCTGCCATTCTGGCTCAGAAGCAGCAATGGAAATGGGGTCTCCCTTTAGCATCCAGTCCAAACCCCTTCATTGCACATGTTGAAGTAACAGGATAAGAAACAGGGAAGTCAAGTCTATTGCAACAGAACAACATCAAATGCAGCTTTTTCTCTGCGTCTTCCGCTCGGAACAAGAAATAAGACAGTTAAAAACATTTTTTTGTCCAAGGATACACACATTTGACTCATTTTGAAACATAAATATTAAAGGATTAAAGATCAATGGGTACCCTTCAGGTTCTTTACGGGAAAAAAGCAACCTCTATAAATTTCTTTTCCTTATAGTTTCTGACCAACCAAACAGAGGTGCCTCATGGCAAAACCCCAGGCCCAGGAGAACAAGGAAAAACCAATCAACCTATCAAGAAAAAGTGACAGCATCCTAGGTGAAAACTTCAAGTCACCCACCTGGGTTGGCTCTCAGATGGCACAGAAGCGAAAGATCCAAAATTAGAGGCTTTAACACCATACTTGTCAAGAGAAAGGGAAGATTCGCGTAGTGGCTGACTGGTACCAGACTGAAGAAACTGAGAAGAAGATCCAGCATTTGTGATGACGGGATTTGAAACAGCCACAGAAACTGAAGGTGTAGGATAAGGATGATGGAAATCTTGGCGAGCCCTTTTGGTTTGCTCGTTGTTGTCGGTGGCGCTGCTGTCGGTTTGAACTTCCACAGGCTTTCTTGAACGGGGACGACCTCTGTGCATATGACGCTCGCAGTACTTGTGGTTAGGAGCCACATCTCTAGAACATCTCCATTTCTTCCCATCTGTTCTCCTGCACCTCCCTGGCTCTGGATCAGTGCTGCTACTTGACAACCTCAGATTGAAACCTCCATCAACTGCTCATAGAAATGAAACTTCATGAGAGATGGGGAGAGGGGAGAGATTACTGATTAGACAAACTGAACCGACATCATTTCCATCCCAGAAAAAGACAAAATGGGCAAAGATATAAACTTTGAGATACTGCATACAACGAAGACAGTGGAAAAAGGCACTTGGGTTATCAATAGGAATACCCAGGAGACATGATGAAAGAGAGACAGGGGAGCATACATGTAGAAGCTAACAAGACACACAAACAGTGAGAGAGAGAGAGAGAGAGAGGGACATACAGGGAGAACAAGAAGCAGATGTGAGAGCGTTGGGGATAAGGAGATTGGGAGGAACAGGAACAGAGGCCATCATGTACTTGTAAATCATGGCTTGCCTTTCAAGCTCCTTCCATTGTGCATTTGTGAAAGGGAACCCTAACGAAGCCGCCATCGTTCCTATGTACAATCACAACCAAAACACACAAGCATTTTCAGATACTCAGACACAACAGCAGCGCCCTCACCCTCTCTTCTCTCTCTTCTGACTGTCATCCTTTTTCTTTTCGTTTCCTTGTTGTACCGCTATTTTTCTAATAAAGATGCAGCCTTTCATGCATAGATGAGCAAGAAACCACAAATAAATAAGGCAGCCCAGAGGTTTGACCAGGACGAAATAAACACAAACCTGGGGATTTGAAGGGAGGGCGAGTGGAAATGTCAAAAGGCTGCAACGTTCTTACAGCAAACCCCCACTATGAACAGCTGCTGCAGAAACGGCAGGAGAAGCATAACCTCCACTAACAACATGGTTTATATTATGATGATGATGAGTCATGTACATAGACACAGACGCAGAAGAAGTTGTGGGGCCATCGCCATCACCACCCCCAGCACAGGAATCGTTATCAAAGGGCGATAATGGACGGTGGTGGTGATTATGAGGCACCATCTTCATCATCTTCTCTTCTC